TGGACTCCAGAAGATGGTAGAGGACAGGAAGGCCTGGAGGATGTTGTCTATGGGGTCGCGATTGGTCGGACACGACTTCGCAACTAACAACAACAAGATTTTTTAAATTATTGAAACATTTTAACTACTTTGGAATTATTAGTATTAAAATATCATTGTAAAATGGAAAATGTTTGGGATATTCACAAAATCCAATACATGCACATAGAACCTTATAAACATAAATGTGAGCACACAAGAAAGCTTGACTGCAGAAGGAAAGAAAACCAAAAGGGATCTAAAGGATCTACCAATTATTCAAGTTATGATAGCTACTAAATGGCCTTGCCCATTTTTCTGATCATGTATGCTGTGGGAATATCCCATAGGCTAGCTTTAACAAAGATGCTCCTGATGTATGTGCATAATAGTTTGATATATATGAGAAAATTCCCTGGTTAGAAATTAACATCTACAAAAATGAGATTATGTGACTATAATGGGATTGGGAGAGGAGTACAAATTTCACCCCAGTAGTTCAACACTGAAACCCAGAAAGATCTGTGGATCTTAATACTTTTTAGCTGGAAGGCTGTTTTCCTTCCTGATGAGCAGATGCTCAGGTTTGATACAACTGCTGTTTGGGAGGTCCTGCAGAAAGTCAATACTTGGAAAACTACATGTCCTGATAAAATCCCTGGGTGAGTACTTAAGGAGTGTGCTGACCAGCTAGCCACTGTTTTCACAGACATCTTCAATCTCTCGTTGCATCAGGCCACGGTTCCATCATGTTTTAAGACTACAATCATTGTACCAGTGTCCCCCCAACATTATAATCACATGCCTTAATGATTACCATCCAGTTCTACTCACTTCCATTATGATGAAGTGTTTGACAGATTGGTAAAGGACTATATGATTTCATGCCTTCCCCCTACATTTGCCTCATTACAGTTTGCCTATCAAAAGATGTACTTTCCTGTGTGCTTCATCTTAGCTTGGCGCACCTGGAGGGGAAGAATACTCATGTGCGAATGCTGTTTGTTGATTTTAGTTCGGCATTCAACACAATCATTCCTCAGTATCTGGTGAACAAACTGGGCCTTTTAGGTTTTAATATTCCTTTATATAATTAGATACTTGACTTCCTTATTGATAGGTCCCATTTTTTCCTAGTTGGCAAGAAAGTTTCCAACTCCATCTCCTTGAGTACGGGTTCCCCACAGGGCTGTGTCCTGAGTCCGCTACTGTTCACCTTGATGACCCACGACTGCTGTGCCAAATCTGCTACGAATCATATTGTGAAGTATGCAGATGACATGGCAGTTGTGGGTCTTACACAGGATGACAGTGAAGATGCTTATAGGGAAGAGGTGAAGGCTCTGGTGGACTGGTGCAATAAAAGTAACCTGGTTCTAACTGTTGCTAAAACAAAGGAGATCATTGTAGATTTTAGAAAGAGCTGGCATAGTCATACTCCACTCAGTATCAAGGATGCAGCTGTAGAGGTGGTCAACAGTGTTAAGTATTTCAAGATGCAGACTACTAACAATCTGAATTGGTCTTTCCACACCTCATCCTTAGTGAAGCGTGCAAACCAGTCTCTGTATTTCCTGGTCTGATGAGGAGAGCACATCTCTCTCCTTCTGTCCTGGCCACTATTTACAGAGGCACGATTGAGAGGATTTTAACAAACTGCATCATTGTCTGGTTTGGGGGCAGCAGTATCTCAGATAGAAAGTCCACACAGAGAGTGATAAGGACAGCTGAAAAGAACATAGGAAGCTCGCTTCCTGGTATTCAGGATGCTGCTTATAAGCGCTATGTGCTTAGAGCTCAAAGCATTGTTAGACACCCCACACACCCACTTTATGGTCTGTTTCTATTGCTCCCCTCTAGGAGGAGGTTTCAAAGTATTTCTAGCAGGACTACCCAATTTTGTAATAGCTTTTTTCCCTATGTCACCCGTCTGGTAAACTTGCAAGGTTTCTTTTTCTTGCCATGTACATGTATACATAATCCAAACTAAACTATTGTTTCTCTGTGTTATATAATATATGTGGGTATATGCATAATTCTGTATTTATTTATTTATGTCATATTTATGTAGTGTATATTGGAGGTGGTGACCCTTTCAGAGCTGTATGCAACAAAATTTCATTTTAATGTGTGCCGATAAGTGTACATTCAAAGTGACAATAAAGTTATTAGTCTATCCTACTTCTTTCTTTGCTGCAGAGCTATTATTTCCTCAAAGTTTCAAGTGTGTCTGCAGTTTTTGAAATGGCCCTGAGAGCTAACACCACTAATATGTACGTCCAGAGGAATTTATTGATGGTCAGGAGGAAATTATTCAGCAGGAAGAAAGTAACATAAATCTGTAAGAACTTATATTGATGGGAAACGTTTTAGTACACATCCTCATAGTAATTAGGTGCCATTTATGAATCAGTGGTTTCTTATTTTCACACTAGTAGAAACTGATTTTTTTTTTTTTTTTTTAAAAAATGAAGATACTTAACTGGGCAGCTCAACAGTTTAATTTCTGGATTTGTTTGGCAGACAGAATAATTAAAATGTAATTCACAAGTAATAACTATGGAAGTTGCCAGATCACTGTCCTCTTCTGATTAAAATCTAAGATGGGTAGTGAATTTAGCGAATCAGATTTTAAACTTCTGGTGCAGTCTAAACATCACATAAATCTTTTGTTCTTTTCACTAGCAATCACACTGCTCCAAGGATGTTACACAAAACAAAATAGCAACAAAAATAGGTAGTGAAGTTAAAGGCCTATGTTGATGAAGATGATGATGATGATAATAATAATAATAATATTAATAATAATAATAATAATGAAGTTGGAAGGGATCTTGGAGGTCATCTAGTCCAACCACCTGCTTAGGCAGGAAACCCTATACAATTTCGGACAAGTGGCTGTCCAGTCTTTTCTTAAAAACTTCCAGTGTTGGAGCATTCACCACTTCTGGAGGCAGGTTGTTCCACTGGTTAATTGTTCTGTCAGGAAGTTTCTCCTTAGTTCTAGGTTGCTTCTCTCCTTGATCAGTTTCCCTCTGTTGCTTCTCGTCCTGCCTTCAGGCGCCTTGGAGAATAGCTTGATTCCCTCTTCTTTGTGGCAGCCCCTGAGATATTGGAACACTGCTATCATGTCCCCCCTTGTCCTTCTCTTCATTAAACTAGACATACCCAATTCCAGCAACCGTTCCTTATATGTTTTAGCCTCCAGTCCCCTAATCATCTTTGTTGCTCTTCTCTGTACTCTTTCTAGAGTCTCAACATCTTTTTTACATCGTGGTGACCAAAACTGGATGCAGTATTCCAAGTGTGGCCTTACCAAGGCTTTGTAAAGTGGTATTAACATTCCACATGTTCTTGATTCTATCCCTGATCATGCAGCCTAGCACTGTGTTGGCCTTTTTGGCAGCTGCAGCACACTGCTGGCTCATATTGATTGTCAGACTTTAATATAATGGATTTCATCTGCTATGGACATTTTCATATTATTTGCAATTATTATGATATATCTTCTGATTCAGCAATCAGGAATGAGCTCCTCTCCAAATTAGTCTATAAAAGCCAAATTATACTATAATATAAAAATATTAACAAAACTGAAACATCCTTTTTCAATAAGCAAAAGCAAATCAACCTCTCTTCTTTCACATGAAATTTTGGAAACTCTTTAGCAATACCTGTGACCAGTAATTTGTTTTATATTTCCTCTGGCATTGTTAGAGCACTCTCCTTCTGATTTTTCCGACACACTTGTTGTTTCTGGCAAGGTAGTGTTTGTTAGAATCATCTATAAAGATCTCAGTTTTAGAGACCACTTAAAGTACTTATCACTTCATCTTGGAGAATGAATCCCATAAATTAGAAACAATAGAAAGAACTCTCTTGTATTTATCAACTTTAGGAATCTTCAATTTCACATCTATACTTTTAAGATTACTATTGGGGGGGGGGAAGAACTGGCATTGTCTGGCTTTTATAATTAAGTTGGGAATTACAGGACTATTGGCTAGACTGGAAGTAAAACAAAACATTCTGGCAAATTACACTGTTATAAAACTGCATGGAATTCAACATGGCATGGCTGAAAGATTCTTTTACCTTACTTTTTCTTTTGAACCAAGCATTATGAAGTTGAGGATACATAAAACCCTGACAAAATGGCTGAAAGCTGAAAACTGAAAATTAATCGATGGTGCTTACCTCATTCCTTTCATTCCAAACATACTGGGTAGATAGGTAACTAATGCTCATTTTGATGTCTATGAACATCATTACTCAAGGTATCATACATACTTAAAACATATCTGAAAGAACTAGTGATTTCACTTTAACATTTAAGTTATGCTAATCCATAATTTAGTTTTTACATTCATCTAGAATTAGCATAGTTACAGTTAGTATATATGTGTGTAATAATGTAATTATTGCTGCTATGCCAAGATCTAGAAATATCACATACAGATGAAGTGTGACATTCCAGAAGTGGATGGAAATTTCTATTGTATGCTACAAAAATCCCAGCAACTTGGAAAGTGAAAGAGCTACTTAACCATATTTAGTACTCATCCTTAATTGGTTTTGGGAGACACGAATACTAAAAAGGATGTGTGCCAAATAAATAACTTGACTTACCACATGACCTTTTGTTTTGGCTAGGAAGGACTTCCTATCTGTCCCTTTTTCTATGTCAGTGACCTTTCCAGCATGGCTGATTTCCTGTCCGCCCCCTGTGGCTGTCCCCCCTTCCTTTGTAGCAATCTTCCCAACATGGCCAACTTTCTGTCCACTCTCTGTGGCTGTCTCCCACTTCTTTTTGCAGTGGATTGAGTACCAAACAAATGAGGAGTACCGGAACAACATTTTTGAGTCAAAAATGTGTCAAGCACCAAACTGTATGAGTTTTGAAGCAGCTGAGTACTAAGGTACCACTAAATTACTATTTACATCTACTAATATCCCTAACATCAAGAAAAAACAAGAAACAATTTTAATGAGTAGTTTTTATTTAAAATTATGTATATAAGCTTTAAAAAAAATAGAAAACCTATTGATAGGGAGGGAATCAAAAGAGAATGACCCTTGTTACAAAATCAATTGCAGAATGCTTGTCTTTTTCAAAGTTAACATCCAGAGAACCTTTTATAATTAAAGCCTTTAAAGATCTTAATCATCTTTAAATACAATGTAACATTCTAAATATGAAAAAGTTATGTCTGTGGATTTAAATATGCACTTCAGCTTTACTTTATGCATCATTCTAGAACAATCTACTCAACAGTTAAGTAAATAAAAAAATATGCCATTTAGTTTTCTCCAACCATAAACAACATTATCTCCAACGTCTCTCCTTGGAATTTGGTAAAATATATATGAAACTGCCATGATACATGTTCATCAAAATCTTGAACCAATGACATCGCAGTAACTTGAGGTAGATCTGTTGGAATAGTAACAGTGTAGTGACTGTTAAAAAGATGTTGCTCAACTTAGAGGAAGACAGAAGAATGGAAAATGAGTCAGAGCAAATTAGAACCATGTTTTCATCTGTAATGGGCAATTAAATTGACTCTCTGTAACAAGGTAACATGCATTCTTGTGCAAATTCTTTACATTTCCCTGGAATTTGCATGCAAAATAAATTGCAAAACTCTTTTAAAACAATCATTCTTTCTGTTACATAGCCCATGACTAAAAGGGCTGTTGACTTGGTAACATATATTTATAAACTTAGAAAAAGATTTATAAAAATAAACAGGAAAATGAGCAGTGTGTCCTTTTTCTAACTTTTTCTCTCTTCAAGTTTTAAAGTTGGTCTTCATTGTATATTAAGCCACCAACAGGAAATGGAAGGAATGTGTAATTTACATCTTGATCTGCTTAGTAGAGAATCTTGCTTGTGATTGCTTTGTTGTGCATTTCTGCAGGTTTTGCTAATTCTGTGGTTATGGTTACAGACATCTATATGTCACAACAACTTTAGAATTATGATTTATGGTGTACATGAAAATGATTGAGGGGCAGGACCCCCATATTTTTTGTGCTGACTTGTTAAATTTCACCAAATGCAATAGCTGTTAATAGATGCTTAGAATTTGCTGATTCATACATCTTTATCATTCAGGAACAAACTGCTTATTTCAGAAAAATGGCCAACTGGACACTAGTGAGCAAGCTATTTGATACAAATTATTTCTAACATCAAACATTTCAGCTTGGCATCAGATAAAATTACTTGGAAAGGAGAGTTAATCCCAACATGTTGGGATAGAAGTAGTAGGCATGTTTCCAACAGTTTAAATCTGAAATTAGAACAACATATAAGATATATGCTAGTCTCCAAGAGGCTGTTCTATTTTTTTACTATAATGCACACATGTTTAAAACCAGCATTTTCCTTCACGGAATGTTATGCAGAAGAAAATGCATAAATGTGCCCTTGAATAAGAAGGCTTCCCTGTATACTGTATGTCAAGAAAAACAGGGTTGTGAAAGCACTAGAAACCCATACATTATTTATAGAATCACATGACTCCCACATTGCTGTGGAAATAACGTTGTCTCTAAATTTGAGATCTGAAGGCCAATATCTTTAAGTATCCTGTTGATTATATTGTTAAATATATATTGTTTTTCCCTTTCTTTTTATCCAAATGTATTAATCAACATCCCTTCTAAAAAGTAGGATTTTTTTAAAAAATAAATCACCTTTAAACTCTGATTGTCAGGTTAATTAGATATACTCATTGCAGTGCTGCTTAAATTTCTATGGAATATATGTATCTTTGCTAGCTTGAGGGGGCAGTCTTCCAACCTCATTAATTTCTGTATGCTGCTCATGGGATATTGAACAATATAGCACTGAAAAGCCTGTAAATGGCAATAAAGTGACTGCTGCAATATTAGTATTTTTTATCGCTACTGGTGGGATGTCCTGCACAAGGAAAAAGGATAATCTGTTTTAGTAAACTATAGCAATGATAATAAAAACAGCTGGGCTTGTAAATCACTGGTGTTTCCTTACAACCTTGTCTTTGAGGAAGTTCAGAGTTCATTTAAGATATGCCACAGCACCATAAAAATGGATCTGAAGTATCTTGTGAAGCCATTAACTTTGAAGGAAGATAGAGAGAACTGTCTCAACAAATGCAAGTAATTTATGCTCCTCAGTTTCTCTCCAATGGCTGTCCCCTTGCTGAATATACACAAACTCAGAAGAAAAAGTCATGTCAAAGTAAGGATGTGACAGAATCAACAAAAGTTAAGTTCATTTCTTACTTAAATCTTCAGGAATCATCTCCTGCAAGGAACTAGAAGGTGGCAGAGGCCAGGAAAACATGTAAAAAGTTTATGAATAATTTGGACAACCCATGCAAAGCAGGTCCATTTGGTCTTCATTCACTGCAATAAAGCTTACAGAAGAGGAACCACTTGGTGCATTGAGATGTGCTACTGAGATGCGATCATGGAAGCTTTAAAGTTTCACTGCTAGGATGATTCACTCAGGAAGAGAAATAAAAGTGAACGAATGCAAATTCTGAGTGCAGCCTCTTATAATAACCAGTCATCTGATTTTGGAATCAATGCTTTTGTCAAAAGTATTTTAAGGCACTCCAGTAGGTATTTTAAATATATTTGTAGGTATAAAAATAAAGTAAGTGCTGAGGAAACATTCACATATGATCATCTCTTGCATTGTCTCTCTGTATGTACAAAATAGGACATATATACATTCACTAGGGCTGTTCCATTATACTTTCACTGGTACTTTGGGCTGCCTTGTTAATTTCATTGCCTGAAAAACATCAAATAAAAGAAATCACAATTAAATAACAATAGGACATATTTTCAAAATAATTACTGTTAATTGTTGCAACATTTCCCAGGCACTAGCAGTAGCAAGAGATACAGGGCTCTAGCCTCAAGTTACAAAATTAATTCCTTGTAGTATTACTAGTTTTCTTTTACTGAAACAATGTCAAGCATGAATTTATGTATCTCTTAGATTGCTAGAAATCAAAACTTTCAGTTTTGTTCTAAAGGTCACATCATAACCTCATAATATCACAACTTGGCTTCAACAATTCCTTTTCTCCTATTATGCTGAGATACCTGAGATTCCTTTTCTGCCCTCCTTGGCAAAGTATTTTACCATTTTAATCCAGGCATTTGCACAAACAACAAATGAAATGAGACATCTACTTTGGCAGGGGGTTGGACTAGATGACCTACGAGGGCCCTTCTAACTCTGTTATTCTATTTCTAATTCTACTATAATCTAAATAATAACAGCTGGTAACATTTATTTAGAGTGAGGTCCTATTTTTATTGGAACTTTTTTAAGGAAAAAAAATATTTTGTCCCTTCAGAAGAAAACAAGATGTTAAAGCACAAGGCATCCAAGGTGTGCTGACCTTACAGAAAGTATGATTTTTCTTTCCCAAATTTGATTACAGGGTTAAGTGTATTCAATCAGGGAAGTAAAAGTTCAAAAATGTCATAACCTATTGAGAAAGCAAGATCTTTGTTTTGATACATAGCACATCCTGCTGCACCATTTTTCAAGCAGAAAACCCTCTTGTTGGTGGAGCTTTAAACAGTTAAATTCTGTTTCAAGAAGAGATCGCATGTCGGTCTTATTAAGGATTTCACTGAAGCTGAGTATAGCTTTCTGCTTGAGAGGAATACTACAATGAAATGAAGGAAATAAGCATCAAAACATGATGCTATGTTTACCTGAAGAGCAGGACACCATTTTTAGACACATCAAAATCAACTGTAACTACTTTTTTTTTAAATCTGCATAAAATTTTAATCCAAACTCATTCAAATATAATAGTGTTTACTGTAAATTATGTAGAGAAATAAGGGGAAAGAACCCCTCTCACAGGGAGATAGATGGTTAACAGATAGATAGATAGATAGATAGATAGATAGATAGATAGATAGATAGATAGATAGATAGATAGATAGATAATAAATAGATATATTTTGAAACCCTATTTATTGCTTACTTTTTCAATGTGTCAGATTGCCAATGTGCATCTGTGTTTAGCACTCATTTTTTCCTCCCTCCCTGGTTAGTCAATATTTCCTCAGAGCAATCTAGAATATCCTACTGTAAATATAGTTTAGAAGAGTTCTGCTGCTCATCTTCTCTCCAGCAGAGCAGAATCTAAAGTGTCTCTTCTGCCTGATTGTCTGTTTTAATAACTGCTGCTTTCCCCCAGCGTCCTGGTGATCTCATTCGATCTCTTAATACCCACTTCTGTACTATGTAGCACAGGGGTCCCAACCCCCAGTCCGTGGACCAGTCCCGGGCTGCAGCATGCCAGCAACCAGGCCGCACAAACAAGCAAAGCCCCATCCGCAAGATGCAGGCAGCACACAAAACCATGCACCTCTGGTCCACAGAAAAACCTCTCCATGGAACTAGTCCCTGGTGCCCAAATATTTTAAATGTGCCCTCAGCCACAAAACAATAGTCCATTCTGAACATTTGAACCCATCCAACATGTTGGTTAGAAGTACCCTCAATTGTGTTCCAAGGATGGAATAAAATCTTTGTCTTCTTTCAGTCCTGGAACACTCATATTAAGCTAAAAATGGTTTGAGACCAGAATGTTTTGCACTCCTAGATTTATGTCACAGCATTAAGACTGTTTTTTGGACATTTTATTCCAGCATTAACAATGTAGTGGCAAATCATAATTTAAAATAATGGTTTCTCTTCTTTATTCCCAATAGTGAACTTGGCATGGGATCATGATTTCTTACCTTTTGTCTAGAAATCATCCAAGATTTTATTGTTGGTACCAAAAGGCTGCCAAGGAGGATCTGGGCTGGGTGATATATAAGCAATGGAACTGAAATTAAGGACAGATGCTTGTAGCCTTCAAATACTATCTTCAGCATTGGTATACCTGAGGGCAGAAATAGAATTCAAATTAAGAATCTTTTGATGATTTTTCTGAGCTAAGAATCATGGGACTGTATTTAACTTTTAAAACATTTTGCTAAAATTTTAAAAAAAAAGCAAAACTCCCAATTTTAATAACAGAAGGCACAAAAAATAAAGCAATAAATTAAATATTAATTTATATATATATATATATATATATATATATATATATATATATATATATATTAATGTATTTATTACACAACATATAATTAAATATAGCAATGTATATTTTAGTCACATTATATTATTACCATACAATAATATAACAGATTATATAATGATCATACAATAGATTTTGGTGGGAATATATTTGAGTTTTTTTCCCCAGTGTGCCTGCCATGCATTCTTCTCGTCTTGTCTGCTTTTAGTTCTGCACTCTAGAACAGGGGTGTCAAACTCAATTTCACTGAGGGCCACATCAGCATTGCAGTTGCCCTTGGGGGGCCGGGTGGGTGTGGCCAGGGTGGGTGCAGCCTACTGGGTGGGCATGGATGGAGTGGGTGTGGCCTACTGGGTAGGCATGGCCAGCTCTACATCATTTGCATCAAGGGTGCCTGTGGGGGCCTGGGCAGGAGTGGGCCAGATCTGAGGGTCTCTGGCAGAAGGGGGGTGGGACCGGGGCAAGCGCCAAGGCATGGTCCATTTCTTCATTCCTCACAAAGGGTGACACCTCCCCAGCATGCACCCAGGGGGCAGGGGCGATCCGGCAGGGGCTGGTTCCTCGCTGTTTCCAGACGGCCTTGTGGAGCTAAGACTGAATGCGTTTCAGCATAGATGGCCACCACAAAATTGTACATTGGCTCCCAGCTGGCCTGGGCCAGGGCCAAGGCAGTGGGGGCCATTCCCTCACTGTTTCCAGAATGTCTTCGCGGGCCGCATCCGGCCCCTGGGCCTTGTGTTTGACATGTCTGCTCTAGAAAGAGTGCAGGGAAGAGCAACAAAGATGATTAGGGGACAGGAGGTTAAAAGGTATGAAGAATGTTTGCAGGACAATATCTAGTCTAGTGAAGAGAAGGATTAGGGGTGACATGATAGCAGTGTTCCAATATCTAAGGGGCTGCCACAAAAAAGAGGGGATCAACCTATTCTCCAAAGCACCTGAAGGCAGGACAAGGAGCAATGGGTGGAAACTCATCCAGGAAAGAATCAACTTAAAACTAAAGAGAAATTCCTGAAAGTTTAAATGGCTTAGCTACACATAAGGGAAGATGTTTTGCATGTTCCACAACTAGGATTGGAATTTCTGTCACTAAGCATATTGGTCATAAAGCACATTGTTGGTGACAGCAATCTTGGCATTCCCTATTGCCAAATTCCACAAATCCTTAGACAAAGACCCACCCCAATCCAAGCCATTCTGGGCTCGATCCTCCCAGGCTGAATTACTACCATGGACTGTACTCTAAATGCTGCAACCAAATTACTGCAGACACTAGAAATATTTTAAGTTGCAAATATCAATGCAACTATTATGGTTTATAGATCTGGGCAGATCTGGATAGATTTGTTAGGCATTTGGGTGCATCGTGCACATGCTTTTTGTTAGGTGGAAAGTGAGTTTAGGGAGTATTTAGAACGGCAAAAATCTGTGGCTTTGGTTAGGTTGGTTTCTTGCATTTTACCGTCCATGTTTTTGTGTCATATTGATGTTTAGTGTCAGGATACATTTAAATTTGCAGACTTTGGGGCTGCAGGGTTTCAGTTTTCTTATGTTTAGTATCATTTTTTGCAGGTGTAAAATTGACCTAAACACAAATCCAGCTCAGAGTAACACAAGAATTTTAAAGACAAGGCAAAACCTATAACAAAATAAAAGCAAAAAACTCCTCTGTTGCTTTAAACTGCTTGCACAACAGTGCAAGTCTTTGCCTAGTGCTACTTAAGGCCTACTCTAAATAAATAACTAAATGAAACTATTTAAGAAATCTAGAAAAAGAAATGACTCAAAAAGATTGCACCCTTTGGCACAAAAAGATGCTCTTTTTTAGAGCACATGACTTCAGTTTAACCCAGTAGAAAATCAATAAGTATATGCCTCCTATGCTGATACACCACATAATTTCACATATAGCCATCTGTTTTCTTGTTTTTTCACAATGTTTCTTTTGCAATCACTACACTCCATGAAAATAGCATGCTGAACTTCACACCATTTTTAAGCTATAATTGTAAAAACAAATTGGCAAATTCCATCTTGCTCTCCTTTAAGCTACAGAAATGAACAAATCAGTGTTAATGCTTCAGGTGCTGCGTCTGTGTCACCATGGTTGACGGGACCCAAGCAGGCATTAGGAGATAGCATTTGACTTTATGGCACTCTACATGCATTTACAATTTTACAGGAATTTTAAAACTGACATACTGAAGAATGTTTATAAATCATTAATAAAAATGCCTCTTTAATACCATGCATTGTTTGAGAGACATAAGGAGGCACATAGTGTAAATGGTTTTCTTTCTGACTAATGTAATTTATACAAAAAAAAAAAAATCCCCACTGTGTATAAGTATAACCAAGGATAGATAAAGAGCACCATCTCAGCACATTACTCTACCTGATCCAATCACTTGGGAAATCCCTAATGTACGGCACATCCTGTTTCCATGTTATACATGACACATTTGTCTAAAATTACTCAACAGATTTTGACATTGCAGCATAGAGCTTTCAACTGTCATCTCCCAAGCAGGAAATCCACACAAGAGCAACAAGCATCCAAGGATTCCTTTTATCCCAGACATGATAACAAAGATGAAACATGAAGAACTGAAGTTCACATTCTCACTTCCCTACATCCATTATCTATTTCGGTATTTTTATTTTATGTACCTTGATTTCCTCAGAGTGGCAACTGAAATACAGGATATTTAATATGCAAAACGCACATTCATGAAATTATTATTTGGCCCAATTCTTATTTATTCTAATAGTTGGTGTTCTATTTCTTCAGTAGTCATGTCAAATTCATCCTTTTATTACTGAATTACACCCCAAATCACCTTCATATATTTATAGTATATATTTTACTTAAATATTCTAGATAAAGCTTTAGAGGAAGTAGCTACTCGTAACATGGATACACTGGGGTAGTCTTCCCAGTATGACAACTATGTTGACTCCATCATGTCCAATTAGCAGTTTGGCTAGGAATCCTTGGAGTTATGGCACCAGATTGGGCTATTTAACAAAAGACAAAAAGCTTCTGTGGTAAAAAAAATAACACAATATGACTTTTCTGCCCATAAAAAGGCTTGTCTGCTAAACAGAAAAAGAAAGACAACCCCACCAAAGAGCACCTTTTACATGTTCTTTTCACAAAACAAAATTCCTTGGGCCATGTAAATAGGATTTAACCCAAGCTTATAGCAATGAAAGGTGTCTACTTTATATATGGCTGTAATGAAGGATACACTACTGAAGACATCTGTCAAAAGAAAAGTTAAAACATAATCTAATTTGACTTGACTTCTCAGTTTGATATTACTGTCAGGCAATAAGTACTAAAAGCTTGCAACCGCACTACTTTATGGTACGCAAACCTTTCAATGGTTTAAAGCATTTCTCTCTCTCTCTCTCTCTCTCTCTCTCTCTCTCTCTCTCTCTCTCTCTCTCTGTGTGTGTGTGTGTGTGTGTGTAAAAGCATCAAAAGCTATACAGAGCATGGGGGGTGTTAATGCTATACACACATTAAGCCTAGCAGAGGCTTAACACATTTGTTTCAGTTCTTATTTTGTCAGATGCACAAAGAAACAAAAAGAATTGATGCCAAAAACCAGCATTTTGCAAGTGAATTTCAGAAGTGTGATCTCTGGGTAGGGGGTGAAATTTCAGCTGCAAATGCAAAGATAGGTTTAAATTTTCTAGTAGGTTCAACCCATCTATATACACAACCAAGGGCAAGAGAAAAGCAGCCATTTGGTGATCACTTCATCTTACTTTGATATTTTCTGAATGTGGAACTACAATATGCTGCATTAGCATCCAATCCAGAGAACCAAATTCCTAATTTAAAAGGCAAAAATATGCAGTATCTTGATCAGCTGTGCCATTCTACATCATACATGAATACAGCACTTCATTGTATTTCTGGATAGGTAGCACTGATACGGTGAAACAAAATAAATATTTCCAAAAGGAAAAGGAAACAGAAATGTTTGCCTTTTATTTTAACATTTGGTAAAAAAAAAAAAAAAAACACGTGCTCTGATTTTTATGGGACAGAGCACTTTTCTGAAATAGATATTCTTTAGTTTAGACATCATTACAGACTCCAAGGAGCTGAAAGCATAAGCAATGAAAGGACTACAAGAGTGGCATTTATTTGGGAGATTTTAGAACATCTCTGAAAAGAATTAATTGGCTTATTCCCCACTGAAGTAATGGTCATATAGCACATCTACTAGATATAGAGTGAATACTTTTGTTGCTGCTATACTGACTGGGTATGAACAGCAGATAAAGAATTATAGGCCCTTTTCTATGTTACAAATTAATCATGTTACAGATTCTACCACTTGTACTGAAAAAGTTTCAAGCAAAATATGTGCTGCAAACATCTGAATCAAAGTGATGAGAAACAGACATCAATAAATATGTAGAGGTGCTGAACTATGTGGGAGTTTGAAAATGACTGCATTTGGAAACAATCAGAATAATCTCACTTTAGTTTGGGTATCTTAAGAAACATAACATAGTTCCAAAAGTTTCTTTCCATTATACTGGTCTGCAGTAGAACATTTTTGAGAGTGTCTCAAAGCCTATTAACAGATAACTCCATATTAGAAATATTTTTTGTCATTTGATAATAGCCTTAAGTAAAGATGACCAACATTTCTTCCTGCAGAGAACTGCGTTTCCTCAGGGGTAGCTGGCTGTCTGCCTAGTGCAGGGGTTCTCAACCTTGGCAACTTTAAGACTTGTGGACTTCAACTCCCAGAATTCCTCAGCTTTGCTGGCTG